TAAGTGGGAGAACCTGCACAATTGGTGGCTGACTAAATACTTTTTTGCCCCACTGTATTTTATCTGGGTAATAAGAAAAATGGTCTTGCCAAACCCAGGGGAGTCTATTATTTTCATGGAGTGATTCCCAACAACTATTAGCACACTGAGAACAAAAAAAAACCACAAACCAAATAGTGAATAACTAGACCAATACAAGGAGCATCAGAGACAAGAATATCTGCTGGTCCTGGACACTTCTAAATATAAAATTGTATATAAATATAAAATCACATATAAATATAAAATGACACATACTTTTCATAATTCGGAGTTTTAAAGTACAACTAATAGAGCTCTAGAGAATATCATCCTTTTCCCGTGAAGCTTTGCTTTTTGGGCTGGGGGAGGGGAAATAATGAAAGATACAGTTTATTTGCAGAGTTTACCTTGTTGTTGTAGTTTGTAGTCAGTAGAGTAAGCTTTCCCTATAATATTCCATACTGGCTTTAAACAGCCAAAAAGTCCTTCAAGAAATCCACCATTTCCACTTCCTGATCTATTGAACTGGATTTTGATATCTTCAGTTCCATGGTTGTTCTCTCCACTTATATTGTCACCATTGCCCTGATGAACAGCAGTTTCTAATTCATCTTGTTCAGTTAACTGCAGCACACTATTTTCAAATTGGTCCCTGGAATCCTCACTCACACTGGTTAATACTGTTATGGCCACTGAGCTATTTATATTGTCTGATGCATTGTTGTGAGGTAAGCCCCTTTCTCGTCCATCTTCTATGACCTCAGATGAAGGATGGACACCAGAGGGTATACATTCCCCATGCATCCCACTGAAACTTTTCTCTTCATTGAGACTCTTGTTGATAATTGTTGTAGAAGGAGACCAGCTCAGGAGCTCCTGAGAACTGGTCATTGTATTGTGGGTGTGCATGTGTATGGAGCAAATAGTCAGAGATACTGCTTTAGAAGAACTGAATGTTCATCCTTAGCGCAGAAAGTGGCCACAGCACCTGAAACAAAACCAAGGAACAGGTTACAAGAATCATACAATTAGGGGGCATTTCCAGTAATGACATGGTGAGTTGAGCATCCTCGAAGGAGCGGGGACCAGCGTTGCAGCAAAGATCAGTGACCAGAAGGCAAATTCTGGCCACTTTCAATCTCTCCAGAAAAAGGAGAGATGGTGAGATTGCCCACATGCACTCCAGGCAGCTGCTCCTCACAAGGAGACCGCAGAAACTAAGATTTTTGCAGTCGGCCTGTGAGTGGAGCGGTTGGGAGTCAAGGGACTTCCACCAAGCTCACATCTGTTAATGCAGCCTATATGGAAAAAAAGCTCAGACAAGCCTCATTTCTTAATCACTTTTAGAATTGCTTTTTAATTGCTTTTTAACTATTAAGAACCTTCAGATCGGCAGGTTTTACAACATTCACTGGGTGATTCTCCTTCAGTCCTTGAAGAAAGAAGTTTTAAGGACAAGATTAAAGACTTAAAAAAAAATTGGAGGGGGGGAATAAACAGCAAAAGGGTGGTTAGAATCTTGATATCAGAAAGTTATACATGGATTAAGGATCCAGAGGAATTTGAAATAATTTTGAAATGAATTATAACAAATCTTCCTGTGGGAAAATGCTGTTGTTTAGAAAAAAACATGATAAGATGGGATTTTGAAGGTTGGACACTAGAGGGAACCAGAAATAACTAAAGATTATAATTAAAGAATAAGAATACTTAAATTTGACTTATTAATATAGAATGGAGCAAAATACTTTAACCTTGGATGAATTCAAGGATATTTGGGAACAATTAACTCAGAAGTTTATCTTAAGATTGATTGGTATCACAAACTCAATTTAAAAGAGGTTATAGAAGAGGAACAAAAGAAGTTATAGAAGTTTTACCACACAAGACTGAGGCTGAGGCTGACTCCAATGTGGATTTAAAAATGACAAGTTATAAGAATGATATGAAAAAAGATGTTACACTGGATATTTATTTTTCCTGCTGCGCCGCGCGGTGCCTGGCCGTTTTCCCGCCGCGCCACACTGCGGCGCCCGGCCGTTTCCCCGCCCGACGCGTGGTCCGCGGACGCCAGAACGGATTAACGGTAATTACATTGAACCTTATGGGAAAA